GGCGATTTGTATCCCAAAGTTATTTACAAGTCGTTCTTACAAAAAAAATAGAATTTCCAAATTTAATCAACTCTGGGCTTTTTTTGTGTAGATAAGTCTAATTCATCATCGAATTTTCTCTTACTCGAATCTAAAATTGAACTTTCGCTGTTTAATAGGGGTGTATCTGAAGAGTTTTCTGTGCACGAAGGTACACCTTCGTGCTGTGTTACCAGACTGACAGAACTTCCTTCTGACTTTTCAGATTCTAAACTTGAACAATCAACTTCTTGGGTCTCCTTATCTGGTATATGTGCAACAATCAGTGGTTGCAAGGGTATTTCTTCTGAATTCTCGTCTATATTGGCAATAGGGGATCGATTTCTTAGCACCGAATTTTCGTTCAGAAAGTTACTCCTCTTAATTCCGTTAGAACGAAACCGTTCTTCATCTTCTATACTTTCCACAATGGGTGATACATTATCATTAGAGAAATTCGGTTGTGAATCATTACTGTTTGAGTTATTTTCAGGAATGTGTACATCATTCTTCTTTGTATCGTCAACAGTTAAATAGTTTGATGATAAATCGAACATATCTGGTGGTGGTTCACTTAACGAACTACACATTGCTCCGCCCAAAGTGCAAAGACCGCCATCCATAAAGCTAGAACTTACGGGCGAATGAGATCTTTTATCATCATTGCTTTCGACCCTTTCGTTATCTTCCTCCTCTAACTCTTTAGGTTTGTCGTTAATGACAGTTTCTGTTTGCGATTCAACAGCTATTGCCTTTTCTGAATCGTCTGTTTTTTCGGTGATAGTAAGTTCAGATTCTTCGTTCAAGAGAGGCATCGAAATTGGATTGCCAAACGCCTTTTGATTCATCTCGACGGAATCATCGAGATTGGGCAAAGAATACACGTATGAAGGGCTGTTCATTTCGGTCGAAGAGACAGATATGCCCTGATCAGCTATGGTCAGAGGAAGGTCCAAGTTGTTTTGTAACTCAGCTGCCATCAATGTGGCAACTTGTTGCTGGGCAACAGTTTGGGAAATGTTTGGATCGGTTATTGTGATTGGAAGATCCACGTTTTTTGGTACTTCCGTTGTAAGAATATCGCTTTCTTCGTCTGGAATTTTTTTACTGTTGGAACTTGGCACCTCCAGTGGGGTCATTATCGGTGAACTTAACGTGAGACTTGTTTCCAATACGTTTCCGACATTCATAGGAAATAATGTGCTGTTTGGACTTAGTTGGGATTGGGACAGTTTACTTTGAACAGTCGGTTGCTCTTGTTGAAACACGTCCGTGTCAGCCAATGCAGCCGCTAATATGTCTTGGTTCTTGTTCGATTGTGTTGCAAAGATTGGGTTTCCGCCACCTTCAGTGCTTTCTATGGCCATATTTCCAGTGTTAACTGGTAAAAGTAATTGATTCTCAGATTCTGTATTGATTAATATTTGTTGTCCGTCTGTGTGAATGAGAATGTTTCCTTCGGTACCAGCTAACAAATTTGCGAGGTCAGTATTACCCTCTGTTAAAGACTCTATGAATTTTTGTGTGCTGATAGGATCGCCAGATATAATCAGTTGTTGGTTATTACCAGTGTCAACGCTGCATGTTATTGTTTGATTATCTTCTGTTCCAATGGGGACTGCTGGTGCTTCTACTGTAGATGGTAAAGTTAATGTACTTGATGTATCAGTTACAGCCACTGGTACCTGTTCTACTTGAGATAGAGGAAGAACAGGCTTTTGAACTTGTTCTTCTATAGAAGGTTTTAGTAACTCAGTCTTAGATTTCTCCTTTCCTTCAGGTATTGAAGCAGGTGCAGGAGCTACAACAACTCCACGATCATCGACTTGTAAAACGATGTTGCTTAAATCCCCTCCACCAATAGCAAGGTTGGGATCTAAAGATAGCAACGCTTCGTTATTTAATGGTGTTAAATTTCCCGACTTGTCTAGAGATACTAGCATATAAGATTGCGTTTGGCCGTCAACGGTTTCACTCGGAAGAGCCAGTATTTGTCCTTCAGTTATGGTCATTTGATTTCCAAGAGCGTCCTGTATGATGAGTTCATTTAAAGGACTTTGTTCTTTCGGTTTTTCTTCAGTAGAGAATGTTGGCTGTTCCATTTTAGTTTCCTCAACATGTGTTACTTTACAAGATTCAATTTTTGTTGATGAAGATGATAGAGCAGTTAAGGGGGGTGGCATATCTGAATGTAGCGTTGCACTAATTGTTGCTGTTAATGGTTTTTGTAGAATATCTGATGTACCGGGCTTTTTTGGATATGAACGTTTTGTAGGAGATTTACTAGTTTTGCTAATCGTTTCTATTTTGTTTTGTGTTTTAAGAGCAGTAAAACTGCTGCTAGCTTTGATTGCTTGAACTTGTTCTTGTACTTGTTGCTCCAAAAGGGCGTCGTCTGTTCCTTGAATCTTTTTAACAATCTGCCCTTGTTGATTTTTTATAACAATTGTCTTTGAAGCACCAGCACTTTTTAGTGCTTCTTGCAAGCGTCCCTTCGCAGCAGGCATTTGAATTTTCTTCCCGCCTGCCTTGCTTACGTCTGACTTAGAGATTCGCTGTTTTGCTTGCGTGATTGGTATAAGCACCTGTCCACCAGAGGAGATGAAAGTTTGATTTCCAGCAATGGCTTGAGCTTTGGTGTTTATTGTGGTTTGAGCGATTATGTTTCCAGAATGCTGACTAACAATTGCTGGAAGACTTTTACTTGATTTTGTCATTATACCACTTTTTAAAGCAGCTTTGGTTAGTTTCGTGTTCGGCGATTGGTATCCGATCATCTTTTGTTGTGCTGGAGTTAGCAGAACTCGTTGCTGTTGTCCCTGCTGATTTGTTACAATCATTATTTTGTTCCCAACAGGTTCGAGAGTTTCTGATGTTGCAGGAAGAATAACTGATTGTTTTGCCAATTGCTTTTTCCCTGCAATAGTTTTCGAAGTGCTAGCTGCATTTGGTGAAACTATAATGAATTTTCCTGGTTTACTAGGCTGACTCATAATTGCCGGAGAACTTTTTATAATTTTTGAAGATGCCACTTGATAGTTTTTCTGACCTTTGGTTATCTTTTGTGCAGAAGCGTACGTTCGTATTATGGTTGGTTGAGATGTAGTAATTGTAGGGATTTTGTTGATGGTTTTTACCTGTGGTGTTGATTTTTTTACTACAGTAACTTTTTCTGTAGCGATTTTTGGGGTTACGGATATAGCGGTTTCCGATATAACAACTGGCATGTTTTCTATAGATTCAGGAGTTAGAATTTGATCTCCTAATACTATAGGCATTGAATTAATATCAAATACAGAATCCTCTGATTGTTGTGTTTGTGCAACAGTTGGTTGGATGACATCTCCAGCAGGAGTTATGATTGTTTGTTGCAAAATTTTTGCCTTACCCCGACCTTTTGGTGTTGAAACGGTTTTTTTAATTACAGGGGTAGCGGTTGAGAATGTCGACTGTAAAGGTAAATCTGAATCCAAAGCTAATTTTTTAGTTGGCTTCTGTATTATGTAAGTATCAATATCTTCGATGTCTTTATTAGTTCGTTTAGATGTGACCTTCTGAACAGATACAGTTTCGGTTGCCGAAAAAGGTTTCATTATCTTTTCGGTAAATATGGCAGGTTTAGGGGTTTTTGTTACCGAAGGTTTTCTTTCAGGTACTGTTGATTTAACAACGCTCTTTGTGCTCCTTATTTCTTGTGCTTTCGTTTCTTGAACATATTTTGTTTCTTTAATAGAAATGGTCGGTTCTGACAATTTAATTTCTTGAATATGTTTGCTATCCTTTGAGGAAGTGATATGTGTTTTGGAAAGCGGAATAGCAATATTCTCATTGGCAGGTGCAGCAAAAGATTTCGTTATACTCTTAGAATTGTCAGTTAAAATTTCAAGCAGTTTTGAAGAAGTCATCGCCTGATCAGATTCTGTGATTGATTTTGATTGTACAGAATTTTCCTTGTTACTTGTTATTAATGAAGTCATTTTGTCCTCCAGGTCATTAGCATCAGCATCTGTGAAACGGCACATATCAGATGTTGATTTTTTTGTAACATAGGGTAGTTCTTCAGGAGGAATTTCTGTATTAGAAGATTCCATACATTGTTTTGATTTCGGTTTTTCGATTATTTCTGATTGTTTGCCATCTGTAAAATCTACAGAGAAATTTGTTAATGTAACTGGCTTAGATTCAGGTGTATTTACTATTTCCACTTGAACATTTTCTAAGTCCGTTTGAGAAACAACAGTAAGATTAGCTTCGATTGCTTTAATTTTTTCAAGACTTGTCTGTTCCTCTAAAGGGGGTGATAGTTCGGATACAGCTGCCAAAGTGGACAAGGCGGACAATTCTTCTTTTTCATTTGCTGGAGTCGTTACAAAAACACTAGCCAAGACCTTATCGGTTTCTTCAATTGATCGTCGTTCGGAGCCATTTAAATCTGTTAACGATTCAGTATCGTTTTTTTTCGTGGAAGTATTACTTTGTATATCTTCTATTTCATTTTTTATTCCAGTTTGGCCTTCTGTCAAAGTTTCCTTCGAATCATTACTTACTTCTATCGTTTCGACGAGAACTTTTTGTGGTTTTTCACTTAAGTTTTCAGAATGTTCCTCAGAAACTACGATTTCATCAGTTTTCTTAACAACTTCATCTTCACTTGGAGGTTTGATAATTGGTTGAAGTTCATTATCTTTATTGACAATCGATGGTTCTGGAGGCGCTACAACTTCCTCTTGAATTTCAAGGGGTACTTTATTAACAATTTCATCTTCTTTTTCTGGTTTATCCACGTTAAATGCTTCAATTTTGGAATTTTTCGATTCTCCATGCATATTTTCTCCAACTAAGTTCTCTTCTGATAAGTCAGATGGTTCATTTTTATCCTCAAGTTCTTGTAAAGGTAGTTGTTCACTTGACGTTTGCTTTTCAGAAATAACTATTTCATTGCAGACGCCGCTTGCAGTTTCAGTAATATTTGTACCACTTAAATTTTCTGGCACAGAGACTTTATCTTTTTTCTCTTCAATAATTTCAGCGTTCAAATTTTCATTTAAGTTAACAGTAGAGGTGTTATCCAAAATTACCGACTCTTCAATGGTAGTCCGTTTAGATTCCAATACACTTTCTGAATTATCAGCAAAAATAATATCAGACTTCAGTGGTTCAATGATGCTCATTGGTTTTCCAAACGTTTTCTTCTTTTTAGGAGTCACTGTCATAATATCAACGTATTCTTCCAAAGATTCTTGCAAATCAACGTTCATTTTATTATCGTCAGTAATATTTTCAATTAAAATACCGCTTGTAATGTTTGATTCTTCCTGATTTAAAGGCGACTCATTAAATTCTAATTTATCAGCATTTTGTATATCCATTTCTTCATATGTATCTAAATCTTGATCTCGTTTTGTTTTTCTTGTATTTCTTCTTTGACGTGAACTTTTCTGTGATTTAGATACCTTTTTCTTAGATCGTTGAATACTGTTACTACTTAATTCCTCTTGAACAGCATTGGTAGTCGTCTCAATTAATTTATCTCCTTCATTCTCCACTACTAATTCCTCGTTGTCGTTTATCTGTTCAATATGAAAATCGACTGGTTTTGATGCATCTGTATCATCTTTTGTATGTGAAGACGATTCCTCGTTATAAGCTAGATTATCAATTTCTTTATCGAAAGAAGTCAAAACCACATTATCAGTTTTAGCTTTCTGTTGGTGTGCCTCTTCATGTATGTTAGTATGGCTTTCTTGTTCTTCAATTGACGGAATTTCACTTTTGTGAGTATTTTCAGAGAGACATTTCTGTCTTAAACTTTGTTTATTGACGGTTCTCTGTATGGAAGTTTTTGGAAATTCGATTTCTTCTACCGTAGGAACGCTAACTGGACTTACAATAGATTTGTCATTTCCTAAGGGTTTTCCATCTTGAGAAGACTGATCGATGTTATCAGGAGTAGACGGTTTTGGAGCGTCAAGATACGCTAATCTACTTCGATATTTCACAGAGTATCTCCCTTGCCTTCTGCTGTACAGATATTTCTTAAAAGGAACGTTTCCTTTGGCATTATTGTTTTCCACCACTTTTGTCAAAGTGATGTTAACTTCTCCGTGATTTTTTGGTATGATTTCGATTTTTTTACGAACCAAACAATCTTGACTGGTGGAGTTGGAACTACAACCATCATTGGTGTTCGTTTTTCCTAGTTGTTCCTGTTTATCAACTACAATAGCATCTGAAGTTTTATCTTGTGCTTCGAATTCCACTGGACGTTTTGCTGCTTTTTCTGCTACACTTCTTGTGGATGGTCCTGTTTGCTCACTTGTCTCAGTACATTTTTGAGGGGTCCTTTTCATTTCAAATTTTTTATATTTTGGTATGATTTGGTCCTTTTCTTCAGTACTTTCTGCTAATTTTGTCCTTAATTGAGACTTCAATTTTAACACTTCAAGGCCTTTTGCTTCCTCTGATTTTTCAGTATTTGATTCTATGTCAGTTTTGGCATTTTGATTTTCTTTAGACGAACTGTCTGGAGTCTCTTTTAAACCGGGCTTTTCTATTATATCTGTTAAATTATTACTTGTATTGTCTCTTAAACTACACTTATCTATTACATCTGTTAAATTACTTGTATCGTTTCTTGAATTGCTTCGACGTTTTTCTGATTGTACAGAAGGGTTATCTGCGTTTTCTGGCTCTTTCTTTTCTGACTTCTTTTTTTCTTCCATTTCTAAATCTTCAAATGCCTTAACAAATCTTTTTTTTGGATTTGTATGTTTTGTGGCTGTTTCGTTTGATTTCGTCCCTTCACCTGGGTACAATTGTGGTGGTTCATCTTTATCAGGAAATTTTTTCATTTTAGCCACTGGAAAATTTTGCTCTTCTTTCAACTGGTCGGGCACATCTGGAACGGAGGGTACTGCAGTTGACTTCATAAGTTCTTCGAATTCTTCGAAATTTGGAATATGAGATTTCCGATTATATTTGTCAGTTTCTGCAGCTTTCAATGAGGACTTTTCATTCAATTTGGACTTTCTTTGTGTTTTTTTAGGTTGAATTTCAATAAGTTCTGGTTGTTCCAAGTCACTTGCTGCAGAACGACTTGTTGAAGGTGAACTGATTTCAAAAGACTCAGAAGTTGAATCTTCTCGTTTTTCATGACGTTGTTTTCTACTTCTCGATTTNAGGTCATAATTCACAATTTTAAATAGCTCACCTTTCTGCTTGGTCTCCTAAACTCCCTATAAAAACTGCATAGGCATTGACATTAGGATAAGCGGTTAGGGCTGCCCCTAAATCGGCCGGTTTTATACCATAACGTTGCAAATTAGCATCCGACAAAATTACCACGATTGCTTCATCGCAATCTTCTTCAGCTAATGATTTAACTGCCAATTGTGTCGCTTGGAGAGTGTGATCTCCAGAAAGGCAAAACTGGGAATGAGCGTGCATTGTCTGCGAAATTTTTACCAAAACATGTTTTAAAAGTCTAATAAAGTTTTATTGAAAATATTTTACCTGTATAACGTCCAGCCTTTCCTTATTATTTTTTGGAATCTCTTTCTTCTTGACGAATACGATGTTATCCTCTTCTCCTGAATGACCCATTATGTCATACTCTATTTTATCTTCAAATCCTTTCATTGCCTCCATCAGTAAAATTACAGCTTCCAATTCTCTTTCTAAACGGCCATCGTAACCGTTGAATCTAAGAGCGATTAATATTACTTTCTGATAAATATATATTTGGAAATTCGAAAAAAAAAAAAAAGTTAAATGGGCAAGTTTGGAGCATGACTTTGTAGATGTGGCGAAAAAGAAAATGATAGAAGCATTTAAGACGTGGTGTTAGAAAAAGACGATGAAAATATGCTTAGAAAAGTTAAAAATGAAGAGGTAAGAGAATAGAGGGAGCCATATAAGGAAATAAGAATTAGGAGAGCTAGGTTGGTAGGAATACAAAGGACAATCAGTCTTCAGACTGGCAACTTTCTTATGATGATTATGATAAAGGCCGTCAAAATTTTTATTAATCTCTTTTTATAGTTTTACCTGTACATACTTCCAGATACGTCCACTACTAATCGAAGTCTCTTAGATTTAATTTGCGGTGTACCTGGTTCCGGTTGTTGGTCAATTCTTCTTCTGAAAACGGTTTTTTCACCCAGCAGACCTGAATATTTTTTAAATTTTATTAAGTAATTTTTTCCTTATAAAATTTAGTGGTTGTTACCATCAATAAGTTTAACGTCATCTAGTTCTCCAGATGTTTGGTGTCTGCTCCATTGGCGTTCCTTATTTTTCGATTGGAGAGTGTTTAAAATAACTCTCAAAGATTGTACTTCTTTTGCTACAGCATTGGATAATTGGGCATAAAGACTTGCGTCGTAACCGCTCATACCTATTTCTTTTAATCTTTCTTGAAACGCTTTTCTTCCCATTTCTTGCGCAGCCTTCCTTACATGTTCTGGAACTGCTGCCTTTTCTTCATCAGATAACTAAAATATCAAATAAAAAGAGAATTATGAAAAGCGAACTTTTGAATTGGTTTAAGTAGTATATAAGGAATTCCTTAAAAAGTTTTTACTAACTTGATGAACTTGATGCCCCTTGTCTAATCTGTAAGGACCTCCTTTACCACCTAAACCTGCAGTATCTCTCCCTCCAGTCCCACCTGCCCAAGTGTTACCCCCTACATGAGGTTCATTTTTAGGATCTTCTTTACCATGTTTTGGACCATTAGTGTCTAATCTGTTATTGTATTAGAGAAAAAAATTGAATAATAATGCAGATAAAATAAAAACTAAATGGAAGACTTACCCACTTTTTCGTTCGATGCTCATTTTAAGCTTTTCTTTAGCCCTTTTCTTTGCATAATATTCCTCGTTAAAAATTACACTTTTGCGAAAACCATATTTCGATAACACATCAGCTACAGTGTCTAATACTTCAGGACTATATTTGTCAAAATCCAGGACGTTAAGTAGGGTGTCTTCTAGATCCGTGTCAGGAAATTTCTAATATAAATGTTGACAAACGTAAAAGATATAATTGTTAAATATTATTATGATTTACCTGTAAATGTTTTACAATATTGACAACTTCTCGGGTAGAATAAGGATAAGCTACTAATCCTTGATCGGCCATAGTTCTTAATTCACCAAATATGCCCACAAGCGTTTTAATAATACTTTCAGGAACATTAGGACCATATTGCTTTAATAACGATATTTCAGATTCTTCAGAAGGATTATCGACAGCATGACAACTAAATAAATCCCCTAATGCTCCAAAAAAGTCATTTCCTAGAAATGGAAATCCTGGTCTATTTGCTAATACGATCATTCTAAAATCAGGATGTATTTTTATTTGGTTTGGGTGCGTTGCTTCTACATCTTTTTTGATAATTTTTCGACCGTCACTCAGTGTCATTTGACCAGATTCTACCAGTGTTTTAAGGATACAGGTCACGTGCGTAGGAGCTTTGTCGGCTTCGTCAACGATCAGGACGTGACCAAATTTTACTGCTTTTACCAGGGGAGAGTCTTCATGAACCAAAACACCATCTTTAATAGTTGGTTGAGTTGTAAGGGTTTGTACAGTTGTATCTCGATGGAGTTGAATATATTCTCGTGGTCTGTAGAGTGAAAATTACATTCCAAAAACGATATTGACAACAACCTTTTACCTGTTCATAAGCTCCAGAAATCGATCCACTACTTTATTTTTCCCCACTCCTTGATTTCCAACAAGCAGTAGATGGGATCCTAATAGAAAATCTTGTAAAATCCTTTCCATGAGTGCTAAGTGTTGAGGAATATCGTAAAATAAAGTACTAGGAATTCTTGTAATGGAATCAGTTTTGTAAATAGGACAAGATGTACTACCGATAGTCAATATGTCATCTTCTATTTTCCAACTGATTTCAGATTTACTGGTTTGCTCTAACGGAAAAATTTGTAGCCTTTGTAACGTTTTCTCAAGGGCTTGTCGAGCAAGGGGTGGTAGAAATTTCGACATGAAAGTGTTTTGAATGATATCATAAGTGTCATTGCTTGGAAATTTGCTTAGTCGTGAGGCAATTCGAAGAAGTTGTCGTGTTGATAAATGACCTGAGAGCGATTTCAACGTATTATCCGAATTGGACCTTAATATATGCGCCAATTCTATCAACTGTTTCATTGAATTACATATCGGCCCGAACTGAAACGATTATTTATTTATAAATAAATTTTACATTATAAGATCATCTTCATACTAGGCGAAAATGCAAGCAATAGAATTCAGATTCAAATTAAAAAAAAGTAGAAACAAAGGAAGGACCTTTAACACCTAAGATATATCATGTACTAATTAGAAAATGAGCGTCTCTTAAAAAATTTCCTTTCCAATTCATATTTCCTAATTTTTCGCCTAGTGTGCAAACTAATTCAAAAATTCTTACTGCTTTTGATATTATTTCGGTTTCTTCTTGTTTCAGTAAAGGCCTGACTTCTTGAAACAAAAACAAACTGATTACTTCTGGAGTTAACCAGTTGGTTACGCCTTGAGTCGTCGGGGGCTCCCCTAGAGCTATAATTTGGAAACCGGAATGAATTTTTAAAATACCGCTTTCATGAAGTTGTTCGTCAGAAAGACCATAGTTTTCTTTAATTTTGTCATATTTCTCAGAACTAATCAAACGTTTGCCATCATAAAGTTGTAATTCTCTATCGTGTACAAGTCTGGAATATAGATTAATATAGAAGGATAAATATATATACATTTACATCAAAATTGTGATGTACCTGTGCAATACAGAAAGTGTGCTTGAATGTATCCTATGAATACCGTCAAGTACGGCAATTTTGCCCTCCAAAGCCGCTGTTATTAGTGGAGAAAATCTCCATACAGTGTCTCCATTTTCAAGGGTAGTTCTTTGTTGTATCAAATCTCTGGAAGTCATATCGTGATATAAAACTATATCTTCCGTGTCTTTGTTCACAAGATTTGAAAGTTGAGAAGTTAAAATGCTTTTGCCGCAGCCTTTGGGTCCTATCACACACAAATCAGTCACTTTTGTGCTTTGCAACATTTTTTCTAATATTTGTTGTTGATATGGTGTTTCAATAAAGGTTTTGGTTTCTTTATTCTTAAGGAGGTTCTTAAAACTCTGGCTTAAATTACTTAATGAAATTGTTTGTTTATTTTTTGACATTATTTTAAATTGCTCCAGTAGTATCTCTACAGATTTAATACTCGACTTTGGAAGAAGGTAATATGGATATAAATAAGAAATTACGTCGTGAACTGTTACACCGGGGTTGTTTTCCTATAAGATAAACATTGAAATACAAATTAGATGTTTTGTATTGTTTTCAATTTTCTTACCAATATTTTGACGGCAAATTTTAAATTTTCAACAGGAAAATCGGGTAAACCCATTGCTAAACTTTCTTTGCTATTTAAAGCAAAAGCTGCCGAAACAAGGCTTTCGATTTTTTGAAATGGGAGGGTGGGTGCTATATCTTTAAGCAACGAAAGATATTCCTGCAAGTTAAAATTTATTTGTAATTAGACTATTAATGAAAATTTTCATTTTGATAGAGGGCTCCGCACTAAAAAATGGAAGAAAGCAGGATTTCGGTGTTTGTACATTACGGTTTATTGTTTTGGTAATTAGTAAAATGCAATTAAATTTCACAGTTGGAGGACATGTTTACAAACAGGGGAGTAAATAACAGATCGAAACGTAAGACATCAGATAGGATATTAAATGAAAGGGTTCTACTTATATATTTCAATTAATTTGATTTTGAAAAAGTGTAAAATCATCGGCAAGCGAGTGAAACTCAAACTTTTACATAAAAACTACACAGGAAAATGCGAGAACTAAATTCTCATAAAAGTATTTATATTCCTGATTTTGCAGCCATTATGGTTTTTTTATAAGTAGTTTTCTAATTTAAGCAGAAATAAGAATTTAAAAAATGTAAACTTGGACTGTTTACACGCGCGTTCCGCTGAAAATTGACTTCAATTCCTAAAACTATCGTTGCAATCTAAGCCCATTAACCGGACGAATTTGTAAAAGTCATCCAACTGAAGCGATTACCTTATCCGTTTCAATTGCCAGCCGACATGCAACTAGTTTCAATTACCCTTGCAATATATCAATTACCACAGTTAATTTACTCTTGAAGTAATTGCGGATTTTAGTTATTACAAAATGATGACCAAAAAAGAACTTAAATTAGGAAAACCCAATTCTCTTTTAATCGATTATTCGTCACGATATTGTGGTATTAACACAAACTGTTTAGAAATTGCAGTTGAATTTTATACTATATATATATGAATACCTTCTAATTCTTTAACTGATGAGAATCCAAAAAATTCTAAAGTTGTTGGAAATGAATAATCTAAAATATTGGATCGACATTGTTTTCCGGGTTCAATGTCATGGTCCATGGAATTTTGAACTTCCAAATTGATATCAGCACCTGCCAAATCACCACTTATCGTACCTTTAGAAAGGAACTACGAAATTTTAAGAATTACGACAAATCAGCCCGCAAAACAATATCGAATTGATATACGCCAGCTGTGGGAAACTGAAAAGAACAAGATATTGTGGTGAACTAATAAGTGCGTGTAATCCAAAATAGAAAACCATTTGAAAAACTTCACTTATTAGATGAACCCAAAGCTAAAGAAACTATGGATTCCATTTACTTCTCTTATAAAAACGTGTAAAAGATCAGAAACAAAATGGGGTTGTATATATTTTGATATAAAATGATTGATGTTGATTTTAAATCAATAAAATTATTTGCAACCCTATTTTGGTTCTGATCTTTCACGCTAAGCTGTTTTGTTGGAATTTTATTTCTTAACTATTTCAAAATAGTTTGTTTATTTTCCGAGGGTGATTATATCAGTTGCTTTGACTTTATAACTCGGTGTCCGCATTGCACAGCATACATAGTACCCCCAATATACACCACAGAAATTTCACTTATCCTGACATGGGGACGCATTAGTTGGCAAACCATTCAGGAAACGTTAAATTGTCACTTTACGACTCCAGAACACGCAATATTTGTTTTAAGCCACGCTCAAATGTATGCGATTGGAATATAAAACGTAACATTGTCGGCTAATTGCAAATATTATAGTTTGTGTTAACTTTATTTACGCTGATTTTGCATGAAAACTCTCAATTCTATTGCGTTTAAAACTCCTTAGTCTTTAGCTAATTTTTAAAACATTATTTAAACGAAAAAAAAATAAATATACTAATATCTAATCA